CTTAATTTTCTTGTTAAGTTGGTTCTCAACTTCATTCTTGTAGAGAATAAATTTCTCTATCGCTTCATCCTTACTTTTTAGCAAGTAGACATAGCAATATTTCGTACTATCGTCGACAAAAGTAATGAAATACTTGCTGTTACCTCTTATTTGTACAAATTTTAAATCACATACGTCGCTATGAATTAAATCAAGTAGTTCTGTTCTGTTCAAATGACTTAAATAAGGACCTTGTCAAATTACTCTCAACACAAGTTTCGCACTTATATTTAAAATTATTATAAAATGCTGGTATACAGTTCAAGTTAATTAACATATCCTAGTTTACCATACCACAAATTGGAAGAATCACTAAAGTAAGCAGAAGAATTAACTTATTAACCTTCGACTTCACAACCATTACATTCAGTTTAAATATACTATCGAAAACATAACATTTTTCGACAAGCATTCCACTTTTTGACAAAATAATTTTGTTTGACTTAAATATAATTCGAAAACTATGCTTATTTAAAAGCGACCCGGGTACTAGGTTCTTACAAATTTCCGGCACATACAGCACATTGTTAAGAGTCAGCTCTTTTCCCGAATTCATATTCAAAACCACTTATCCTTGACCCTTGATTTTAGAAGTTGTTGAATTTTCCAAGAACAACTTCTCCCCATTGCCAATTACTTCGAATGCAACAAACAACTCTTTATTAGAGTACAAATACTTTGTAGCACCGGTGTCAATCCACCACTCTTTTGGGTTAAAACCCACCACATTCACTTCAGAAATAACGGTTGGGAGATTCATCTCCGACACATCATGTGCCTATAGTCAACCACATTTGCTTCTTTTTTATTATTCTTCTTGGCAATCTGCACCCCGAAAACTTGTGACCTACTTTGTCACAATTGAAGCATTTTCCTTGAAATTTCTTCTTAGAAATGCCGCCTTTCAGTCCCGACTTAGTACCTTTGCCACCAGATGTCCTAGACTTGTTCTTGAATATCTTAGAACTTTGATCGTGTTCAACAACATTGGCTTTAGCCACAATAGGATTGAGCCCCTTCTTTTCAGAACTTATGTTGTCTTCTTTAATTCGAAATTTAACAATCAGTTCTTCAACGTTCATTTCCTTTCGCTTGTGCTTAAGATAATTCTTAAAATCTTTCCACGTGGGGAGCAATTTTTCAATAATTGCCGCACTTGGAAAGTTTCACTCAAAATTATCCCTTTAGCATGAATTTCATGAAGAATCACTTGGAGTTCCTGCACTTAACTAATTACTGTTTTGGAGTCCACCATCTTGTAATCCCAGAATCAGCCAACAATGAATTTCTTAGCCTCGACATCCTTAGTCTTATATTTCAGATCCAATGATTCCCACAACTCCTTAGTAGTTGTCATGGTACTATACACATTGTACAGCGAGGCTGCTAAGCTTTCATGATATAGTTTCGGCATAAAAAATTTGAATGTTTCCACACATCAAGTGCGCTAACAGCTTGAACATCTTCCTCACCCCCTTTGAGTTTAGAAGCAGTTTTTAGTTAAGAACCTCGCAAGGTTCAAGGTAATCAGGGAAACACAATACTTTCTGTTGCCACCTTTTGAAATTCACGCCATTGAATTTCTCAGATTTTTCTCCATGATTAACGGAACAGTAATGACATGGCTAGTTGGTTGAGCCACAGTATGGCTCATAGCATAGATTGACAATTTAGACACAGCAGAACTTAGCTCTTGTGTCACAACAAAACTTGGCACTTGAGGCACAACAGATTCCACATTCGGGTTTTCAAATACCACATCCATATTGATTGGTTCAGTTGCTATTTCTGAAAATCAAACAAATATTATTTCTCAATAAAACCAACATGAACTTGTCTGTTATAAATTTGTTTTAAGATTGTTAGAAAAAAAAATATCGAATGAATACCGGCTTAACAAATACCAAATGAACACATACTGGATTTGCAACTAACAGAAATACTGTATAAACATATATCGGACACTAGC